AAAGAGCAGAATACATTCTATCAAATCAAAGTTATTTAGACCGGTTATTGTTATCAAATTTCATAGCTGGCTACAAAGCAAGGGCAATGATCTGAGGAGGGCTGAGCACTTTCCAAAAAAATAGTGAACACATTCAGCTCCTAATGGTAACTGAGGATACCCAACAGAAGACCTAAGCTGAGACAACCAGGTCACTATACTTTCATAAACTATTTTCCGAATACTGCCTGCAAATGTTTCCACTCCTTTTATCAAAGACAAACTACCAAATATATTGCACATGCGAATAATGAAAACCAGGGAAAATCTTGACTTTTTCATGAGACCTGTAAGTTATGGCAACTCTGAGAAAACCTGTGGGAGTAGAGTTATGAGGGAATTTTAATAGACATAGCAGAGAAAGTGCACCATATGAACATCCTGACTTCTAGCGATGCCAGTAATTTGCTTTACTGTAATGCACTACCTATAAGTTTTTTTTGTATCACCTTTAGTGTGTATAATCTCCATTTCACTCAAAAGTAACTTATGCTCAAATTCATTCTAAACAGCAGTAAGTCATAGGAGACTTACATCTATGAGTAAGCAAAAAAAAAAAAAAAAGAGAGAAGGAGAACTCTCCTCATCTTGCGGCTTGCAAAGCTTTTAATAGTCTATTATCATGATAATGTGATTTGTGTACAGCCTTGACTGTAAGTAGAGAGAAAAAAATGCAACAACTGATTTGATATCTTCATCTGAATAACTTCACAGAACTGTCAGGCCTGCCTGTTCTTTTCTGATTTCACTGATGGTTATTTTATGCTCAGCTACACAAATACTAAGATTTGCATCAACATATCCAAATAGCTTTGATTAACTTTTGGAGCACTTTCCAAATAAAGATTAATGAAGCACTAAAAGTCAATGCTATCAGAATTAAAACATTGTCATCAGAAAATCTAATACAATACCTATAATTTTTTGAATATTTTGATATTGTGCAAAAGTATGAAGAGACAGGGCAAATACTTATATTAATAAAACATGCTTTGTTCATAGTTTTGATAACTGAATAAAAAAAATCCATGTGCAGACTAAAATATAAAAACTCTTAAGTTGTAAAGCAACACTAATGGAAACTCATAAATTATAGAATAAAAACAGACTGCTATAGGATTGATCACTTCAGAATCTTTTAACAGTCTTTAAATGTTTGAATAAGTTATTCCTGAAAATATACAATGTGTATAAATAACAATTCATGACTGAACAGAATTGTTTAATATAAATTGTTTAATATAAATATACGACAATATACAGTTTTGGAAAGTCTTCTTATAGTCTAAATAAATTGTATGTGTGGACAGGACTAATTCTATTCTCTCATACTTTGAGTAGAATTCAGGTGAGCTAATCTACTAACAATGTAACGAGAAGCAAATTTGTATTCTATAGTTTTATAAATCACACTACATTAAGCCATGTGACTAACCTCTGTTGCACATTGTTTCTTCCTTGGATAGACTGAGGGAGCTGGGCCTGTTCAGCCTGAAGAAGAGAAGGATGAGAGGGGACCTGATCAGTGTATAAATACCTCAAGGGAGGGAGTGTAGAGGATGGTGCTGGCCTCTTTTCAGTGGTGGCCACCGACAGAACTAGAGGTAATGGCCACAAACTGAAACACCAAAAGTTCCACAGGAACTTAAGGAAGAATTTCTTGACAGTGAGGGTGACAGAGCACTGGAACAGGTTGCCAAGAGAGGTTGTGGAATCTCCTTCTCTGGAGATCTTCAAAACCCCCTTGGACGCAGTCCTGTGCCACGTGCTCTAGGTGACCCTGCGTGTGCAGAGGGGTTGGACTAGAGGACCTCTAGAGGTCCCTTCCAACCTTAAGCATTCTATGATTCTATGATTCTACTGTCCTGGATACAATACCTTATTTGCCTACAAGCATGTGAAGCACAGCTACTGAATAAGCCAATAATCTAAAGGCTTACACTGAGACTATCCAATCAACTTATCAGTCCCGCAGCAGCCGTACAGTTGCTTTTTCTCCTTGTTTGCTGAAGAACACCTGCACTGCCGTCCTTGAGGTTGGTTATCTACTAATGAGACATCCTGTACTACTGTCCTTGAAGCAGGCCTCCACATATCCCCCTTCTTTATTTAATTGCTGTACTGCCATAGCTGTTTTTAAATGATCAATCAATCAATCATTGAACACATAATAAGAATGGCTTCTCGGTTATCAGGCCTTGTTCGCTGGACCAGGGCCTACGCAGTGTCAGGGTTAATAGATTGATCGCTTCAGCATCTTCTCCCATATCCCCCCTTTTTTGTTTTGCATTTTCACTGACAATACTTGCTTCAGAGTGCTTTTATCAACGAATTGCATTAACTGTAACAAGAATGAACACAAAGCATAATCCTGAAAATGATTAAAAGTAGCATTGTGGCAACAACCAACAGTCTTTTTAGCCAAGGGCCCAAATCAGGGAAGAGTCCTTCAAAGGGGTTCCACCCATCCGTCATTTTGACCCTTTTCGTTAGCTGTTGCAGCTCTTAGATGCTTTTGTGGATTGACTTGGAGGGATCAGATAGATTCATGCAGCACAGGCTGTCGAAATCCTCACATCCATGTCCTTGAGTTAAAAGTAGAAAATCTTAGCGAGGTGATCATGAGCGGCTGCAGCAGCAACCCCAGCGCGAAAATAGATGCAGCGATTATTTCACTGGGATTCCAGAAAGTTACCTCGTTGCCACACTGGTCTTTAAATGCATGCGTCGATCTTTTTGCCCTGTGGTAGTGATGTACCCTTGTAGGATTTGATATCATGGATATGTTTGGCGTCAGGAGCGTCAAGTGCTCCACGCAAGTGGGAGGGAATAGCATCCCATGCTCTATCGCTGCAGATAATACCACAGGCGGTAAGGCCATCGGGGCGTTAGTTGGTATCGATACATTTTTACTCATATGATTACACCAGATAGTGTTGTTCTGATAGGTGGGCAGTGACGAATTAACGTTCTGGACTCGGGACTGATTTTTACCAGTATAGTTGAAATATACACAGTAATCCATTTGCAAGCATTATCCAGACGTTCTCTTTTGGCTGCTGGGGGACCCATGGTAACTCGATCCCTCTGGCAATGAGGGCACGGAGGATGCTGCAGCAGACAACACGGGCCGGACCCACTGTGCTGGAACCCATTGTGGTCCTTGATCTGTAGAGACACAAGCATACCCTCGTCCCCATGTTATTAAAGGTACAGGTTTTCCCCATTGGCGCGACCCAGGATCTCGGACTTCCACCAGAGTTTTACTTAGCTTTTCCTGAGTGGTAGCGCTAAAGTGCCTTAGCACCGGGGGCGCATCGTCTATTTCTTGATTTAAAAAGTTAGTACATAGAGGGCCTTCTCTAACCTTTCCTGAGGGGAGTACCCCTCGCAACTCTTTTTTTGTTTTTGTATCATGGTTTTCAAGGTGCCATGGGCATGCTCAACAATGGCTTGGCCTGTCAGGGAGTGGGGGATTCCAGTACAGTGCTTCATACCCCACTGTTGAAAGAATGCTGTCATTGCGAGAGGTATATGCAGGCCCGTTATCTGTTTTAACCTGGGCAGGTACCCCCAGTGCAGCAAAGGCAGCTAGAAAGTGTCGATGGACGTCACCTGTTTTCTCCCCACAATGTGCAGATGCAAACATGCATGCTGAAAAGGTGTCAATGGAGACATGCACGAATTTAAAGCATCTGAATTCAGGGATATGAGTGACATCCGTTTGCCAAATCTGGAGAGGCGCTAGGCTTCGAGGGTTTACCCCCATGGTGGGAGGTACTGTAACTGATTGACAGTCTAGACAGACCTGGACAATTTGCCGTGCCTGGTCAGTCGTGATACGGAACATCTGGCGCAAAGCGTGGGCACTCTGGTGGAAGAAAGTGTGAAACAACTGTGCCTGCTGGAATATGTCTGGAAGGGTGGCCACCCCGGCGAGGCTGTCTGCATGCCGATTTCCTTCCACCAGAGGACCAGGCAATGTCGTATGAGACCTGATATGTGCTATAAAGTAAGGAGCATGTCCATGTTTCAACAAATATAGGAGTTCCTTGAGGAAAGCGTAAAGCGATGGATTGGCTACTTCCTTCAAATAGGCTCCTTCTAGTCAGTTAACCAGTCCTGCGACATATGCTGAGTCAGAAACAATATTAATTGCTTGTGAAAACATACGGAAACAGTGAACCACCACCGCAAGTTCCACAATTTGCGAGGACCCAGAAACTCTTTCAATACTGTTCTCCCAGGCACACGTTGGCCCTTGCCATACTATAACAGAGTTCCCTGTTTTCCCAGATCCGTCTGTGAACAGCGTGAGTGGGAATGGGCACCTGACTGAGGTGAGAGTTTCTTACCAAACCTATTGATCCCAAAGTGGTAAACAGGGGGTGATGTGGGAAATGGATGGATATATTGCCTGTGAAATCTGACAGGGCAATTTGAAAAGACTAGCTGGATTGCAGCAGCCACTCCACCTGCTGTTTTGTTGTAGGTAAAATGATAGAACTCGGGTCATTCCCTTGTAGGGCCGTAAGGTGGGCACGACCCCTCTGAATCACCATGGCCAATAGTTCATGCCACTGTACTACTGTCTTGGGAAATTGGTGAGGCAAGAAAATCCATTCTATCACCACAAGATGGTCCTTTATTCGTGAATCCCATTGCCCCAGTAAACCAAAAGTCTGGGAATTAGCTTGTATTACATAGAGGTTTACGGGCAGGTCCTCATGAAGTCTGTGGCCTTGGTGCTTGGCCAAGGCTTGTGAAATAAGGGTCATGGTCCTCCTGGCCTCTTCTGTGAGCCGCTGAGGGGATGCAAGGCTGGGATCCCCTTTTAACACTTGGAATAAAGGATGTAGCTCCTCCGTGGCCAAGCCCAGCACTGACCTAACCCAATTGAGTGCTCCTAATAACTTCTGTAGGTCATTCAGGGTTTCCACTTTAGCAGGGATTTTAACCTTTTATGGTGTTATAGTCTGATTATCGATGCGCAACCCTAGGTACTGCCATGGGGTCACCGTTTGAATTTTTTCCAGGGCGACACAAAGGCTGGCGGTTGTCACTGCTTGAATCGCAGCAGCAACGACCTCCTCATTGTCCGCTGGAGTCTGAGACGCAATTAGGATGTCATCCATATAGTGATAAATCAAGAGTGCTTGGGTGTGCAAGACAAACAGGTGCGAGCACCCGAGCCACGAATCACTGGCTGATCATGGGACTATTGCACATTCCTTGGGGCAGGAACACCCAGTGATACCTCTGGTGAGGTTCTGCCGCATTAAATGATGGAACCGAGAATGCAAATCGCGGTGCATCCGCAGGGTTGAGCGGAATGGTAAAAAAACAGTCTTTCAAGTCGATCACCGTCAGGCTCCAATTTTGAGGAAGCATAGCAGTAGAGGGCAGTCCAGGCTGCAACGCCCCCATCGGCTCAATTACCGCATTTATTTGCCTAAGATCTTGTAACAATCGCCATTTCCCGCTTTTCTTTTGAATGACAAAGACCAGGGTATTCCACGGGCTTCTTGATGGCGTGATATGTCCCGCCCGTAGCTGTTCAGCCACCAGATGGCGGAGGTGTTGCAGCCTCTCCTTTTTGAGGGGCCACTGATCGACCCAAACTGGACTATCAGTTTTCCAAGTAAGGGCAGGAGCTTGCTGCATATCAGCAGCCCCTCAAGAAAAATGATTTCCTTTGGACATTAACCTGCTTGCAGATTGAAAGATTTGAAAGAGCCTTTAAAAGTTTTTAAAATGTAAATTATAGGATTGGGAAATAAAATGGGATTATGGAAAGTGTAAAAATGCAATGAAACAAGCTTTATAGTATTGAAGGGTGCATAAATGTCAGATGAATCATGAAGAGAAACAAACCAAGTCAGATTGCACAAACAGGCTTTCTCTCTATACTGTTAACTGAAAGACATTTTAGATAAAGTCTATCCCTCTGAAAGTCTTTCTAGCTAGAGAAATACGAGGGCTAAAACCAAAATTGGGGATCTATGTGTAGAATTTGGTGCAGAAAATATTTTATGTTTGTGGCAAATTAACAAGTTGTCTGGTATGTCATTATTTAAATAGGCCTTACACTGATCTAAAGGAAGTTATTCATGTAAAATAGACTTGTAATTTATTTAGCCGCTCCTATAGGTCATACTTAATATACTGTTAAATAAGGCCCAACACTGGTATATTTTGGGTTTTTTTTGAATAGCTCAAAAATTCAAGAAAATGTCTTACATAAAATGATACATCATTAAATGTCAGTAATGACCCAAATTTATGTGAGAACTCTTCAAGTTTATTATCTAATAAAACAGGCATAGCTTAGAAAATTGTTATATTTTTGGAGAGTTAGGATTAAATTTATTCAACATTGCATGGGTTTGCTAGTTTTAGGAGTAAAATAGAGAGACATGACTCAAGATCAGAATAGTGCCGTCATCAATTGTTGTATGATCATGTTCTAAATTTGGAAAACATGATGCTTCCTGTACATACTACTCAATAACTGGATGTCTAGATTTAAAACTGAACAATTATATTCCACGTTAATTTTGAAAATATGGGCTATAACATTTCAATGCTTGTTTTTCTAATTTCTAAATTGAAGTTTGAAATATTTTGTAGGAGTTTTAGGAACCTTAATTTAGGCGGTAATTGAGTAAAGCAGAAAAAAAAATGCTTTTGAGATTCTCAATTGGGACTGTGAATCTACAATTCAGGCAGAGTAGGATACTTCACTGGATTTAGTTTAATGACCAGCTAAAACATTGGCCTACCTCTTCAGTCAAAAGTCAGATTTTCACAAACATGTTTGTTTTTCTTTTAGGGTACCTTTCAGCATTATATACATACCCATCTCTGAGGTGCAGTAAATCTGAATGAGTAATACTTTGTTCAGAAAACTGAAGTGCACTTGAAATAAATATTCTATTTCCAAAGTAAATATGGACTGGATTCCTAAAATTTGTTTATTAGAATCTGTTTTAAGTTTAATAAATCTCTAGCAGTGCTTCTGGTTCCCTTTTCCTGTTAATTGCATTGATGAATGTAAAAGCTATGTTATGTACAGAATGACTGAGCTTATCCCTACTAGAAAGGAGTTATGTTTGATATCTAAAGAACAATAAGGTTTTGCTGTCTGGCTGATCAATGTTGTATCAAGTTCACATTCCCAAGCTCCCACTTTCCCACCTACATATGCAGGGGGTGGAAAACAGCAAGGAGAGGGAGAACAGGTCCTGTTTTGCACAGAGATGTTGAACCGGGACTTGCCTAATATGGACACAGCTGGGAATACACAGCAGTAAAAAATGAATTTAATCCATGGCTTGTAAAAACATCCAAAGAAAAGCACAGAAGATAGCAACCAATTATTTTTTTTACCCTACCCATTCTTTTCTTTAGCCAATGGAAACAATTCATGGAGACTTAAATATTTTGGATAGTGCCTTGCAAGAAAATATTTTTACTATATTAATTAGGAAAGAGTAGCCTTCCAAATGACCAAAATCTCTCCAGTTTACAGTTCCTTATAGGTAGTTTTAGTGCACTGGATGCACAATATGAAGTAATCAGAAGTCAAATGCTACTTTAGGAAATAATATTTGAGATATTTTTAATGCAAGAGGATAGAGATTTGGCTATGAAGTTGGGGTAAAAAAAATGTATGTGAAAAGAATAAGATACCACATTCCCAGTGGTTTGAGGTTTTTAAAAGAAACACACATATTGCTGTTTAACAGCCTGGAAAAAAATCTGTTTTCTGGGTTTTGAGAGAGACATGCTTGTGATTGTAGGGAATTAATATATTGGGGAGATTTCTCATGCATATGTATAAACACATATCACCTATCTGAAGTTCATGTAGTCCTAGGTAATGCTGACTTTTATTTCTCAATATAGTAATTCCTAGAGATACTTACAAATGAATTCTGAGCAATTCCTGATAGAGGTGAATTTTTGGCTCTTTCTGGGGGTGAGAAGACCCAGAAAATTGTGTCTTGCCAATTCATGCAGTGGTCTAGTCAGAAATTCACAGTGATTTTGAAGGCTGAGAGACTGCTGTTGCATTCCCAGCTGGCCAAAGTCAGGGCTAGAAGCTTTTGCTTTTGAACCCAGTGCTTCTTTCACAAAACACTGCAAAAACACTGAACCACTTAAGTCGTTGGTATCTACTTCTAGAAGATGATCAGCTTTTGTTTAATCACAGAGAAAATAAACGAATCTTCTAAAACAAACTTATTCCACCTCCATAAGAAAGGGATATTTTTCTAAAATGTTGTAACTATTCTGTGGGCCCACAATGAAATCTAAATGCCAAAGTGAACGTCTAGTAAAAGATAGGTTTGAAAGGTCTGTTGGCCGACAAAGCTATTGATCAAAATAAAAATGAGCTGTACAGGTCATGATTCAGCTTACTGTTATTATCCTTAGCATATAGGCTAACAGGATTTCATGGTCAGAGGGCTAACTGACTTTTGCCTTGAATCTGTTTCTTTACCAGAGCTGTTGGTAGGGTTTTTTTATTGACTCAGAAGATCAGTAAGATTCTAAGATCAGTAGACCTCTGAAACACACTCTTGCATTTATATTTTAGGAGTTTTATTTTTCAGGGATAAATAAAGACTACTTCATTTTCTTCCAGTCTCTTTATAGTGGAGAAGGAAGGAAAACACTATTTGTCACATCAGTGGTGATTTTCAGGACTGCCCAGTATCTGTGTTCAGGCACGTTTGTTATCTTTTTTTTTTCTTTCTCCTGTAATTTCCAAAAAACAAAGGGCTTTAAAAGTCCTATGTAGTTTTGGCCAGCCAGCAACTACCTGTTGCCTACCTGCTCTCACTGTTGAATGGAGCCAAAAATAATTTTATAGAGAATTATCTTAACTCAAAGATACTTGAGTCTTTGTCCTCTGGATTCAAAACATCTGTCTTCAAATTACTTTTAAATTGAAAGGGGACAGAGGCAACTTGAAATCTCTGAAATCTGACGTCACATTTTCATCCACGATTGTATTAAAAATCACTCTCTCTTACAAATTGTCTCGCCTCTTCTAGAGGAAAATGCTACAATTTACATTCTAGGCTCTGCTGCTGAGGGCTCCCAGCACATGGCAATACTTCTCAAACAGGAGGACCTAAATAGAAAAATGATAATCTACTTTTGCAGTTGCTCCAGAGAGGTACCCATATGGGAGTAAGACCATCTGGTAAAAAAAATGTGGCATATTCTAAAAGTATATTTACTGTATTATGTATAATATATAAATGATATATAACTATATATTTAATATATATTGTTTGCTCTAAAGTATATTATTTGGAGATATTTGGAGATTTGGCCAGGTGCTCGCAGGCATTTTCTTTATCAGTTTATCTAATCTTGGACTGAATAGGTGACTATAGTGATTCATTTCTACCAAGGAACTTTCTCCCTAAGTCAGGATTGCAAATGTGGATATGACATTTATTCGTAGTATCCCTTTGAAAAAAAATGTTCCTGCCACAGTATTTGAAAATCATGTTGCGGCGTGAATGCTTTTTTTTCAAAGAGGTACTGAAAGTACATCCTCAAAGTTATTGTTTCAACAGGTTTTTGTCTCTTGGGGGTAGATAGATTTTTCAGGAAGGGCAAGTTTCATGTGAGAATAATATCTCAGTATATTGGGTTGTGTCATGGAAGAATATTAGATACAGAATACTGATCCCAAAAGACAATGTTTACACCACCACAGATTCTTGGCATTAGAGCATTTGGATTTTTCTATATCAACCTAAACAATAATCTCTCCTAAAATACAGTTAATATTTGGAACAACTTGATTTTTCGTTTCAGTGAATAAAGCTGTCACCCTGAAAACTGCACCAAGTCATGTGGAGGAGTTGCTGTTCCTAGAGGAGCACATTCTGTGCTTTACTACTTTTTCATTAGTTTTCATCAGCCACTGATGTACTGTTTCTTACAAGTACAGGTTGCAATGTGGATGTACCAGCCATCCTATTATTTTCAGTTGTAGCCCACTGCATTATTAGCCTCTCTACCAAATTCTGGTAATAGGGGTGCTTTAAAATCTTTGAAATCATTGCCCTGGGGAATACAGGCTAATGTTTCAAGACATTATTAATCATATTGCGAGTTGATGGATAAAATACTTCTTGAATTTTCAGTTTCTGAAGCCTTTTACAAAATTTTGGAAGCCAGGTCCTTTCCACTGAAGCAGCTTTTGGATCATACAGACTGCTGAGGGCACCTCTTATTCTCAGTTTACAAATAAGTTAATTTTCCACTTTAAACTAGTGTTTTCATGGTTTTTTGTTTGTTTGTTTTTTCAATAAATCTTCTCTGTGATAGAAAAACTTTTTTTTTTGTTATACAATGCTATATAGGAAAGCATAGGAAGGTACAAAATTTGCAAAATTTGTATATTGGTGGAATCAGTTAGATCCTCTAGGAAAAAAACACATAATATGATCATAAAATCTTTAGACTCTTTTGTGCTCTTGCTAGTGTCCACGTGGATCTGAATATATAAAAGTGGGTGTGTATGCCCGGTATAAAACTCAGTAATTGAGAGGAAAATCAAATCTCTAGAGGGGAGAGGTTGGAAAATATGACTCGACTGAATTACTTTTCTATTTATATTTCCTCCACTTTGCAGA